ATCAACGCTATAAGTCTAGAACTGGAGAGACCAGTAAACCTGATAAGGTGGCCTGGCTGCCGACGGCTACAAGCACGGATTGCCTACAATAGCTAGACTCGTGACCAGTCTACTCGGTAGTTGGTGGGGTGCGTACCGAGGGTGGGAGGGTAGTCGGCACGCTGGAATGGCTACCTATATGACAGGGCGGCTGGTATCGAGCCTATACGATAGCAGCTGGGACAGAGATCACGGCAGAAGAAGGGAAGGGGCACTTACTACTGAGACGTCGCTCAGACGCTTATCGAACTATTGTTCAAACGTTCATCGGATGACGATGTATTCTCCAAGAAATCCGCAAAAAATCTGGGGTGTTTCCATCGTGTCAAGCTGTTAGGTACTTTACGCTTCACGAGTGGTCACGGATAGATCTCGAGGCCACTGCACGCGCTCCGAGTGCGCCCGGGACGCGTCACCTCGCGTCGCGTTGAGCTCGGAAGATGCCGTCGATGCCATCAAATCGTGCTCGCTTGCGTCACGTCTCTTCGTACGTTGCCACTGACCGCTACTCGTTTCCAGACCTTTGCTATGGCGCATGTGAAACGTAAAACAATGCGCGGGATAGCTTGTATGTCGTTCCCCTATCGCATGCCTTTTCATATGACTACTAACTTCTAGTTCGGAAACCTTACCACTAGTAGTAGAGCCCCGGCACCTGTCCTTCAACTGGTGCGATATAAAAGGCCAGACTACTTCTGCGTACGTGTGATTATATTGTTCACGTACTCACGTTGCACGTCAACTAATATCTTCAGACCTGCACTCATTGTCTTGATCCTCCTCCAAGCAGCTTCACGGGTAGTTCCATCGTCATGCACTAAGGTAAGAGACCGCAGGGGACTAAATGATATCAAAGGAAAAGAATCCAGGCATTTAAGCGTAGAACAATGATCTTTCCATAGCCTCACAGTCGCTTGACGGACCAGGCCATAAAGTCTGTCTTCACGCCCACTGGCGTGTCCGGCCGTTGGGCCGTCGTCAGCACGGCGTTCGTCTCGACCTTGCCCTCCCCAAAGATTCCTTCCCAAAGCGCCTTCCAGCTCTCCGGGCTGTGGCAGAACATGCGCGTGCCCGCAGGGGCGTTAGCAGTCAGATAGTCAAGGATCAAGCCCTTCTCGGGATTCCCAATGTGCGCCCCGAAGATGAACGAACCCGGAGTGGGCGAGAGCAGCGACGCGAGACGGCGTGCAAGCTCGCTCTGCCGCTCCTCGTCGAAAAGGTGGAAGAGTGACGAGGCGTAGATCGCTGACAGCTTCCCGCGGAGTGGTGTGAGCGAAGTCAGAGCAGACAAGTCTATTGACGGCTCGCTGCCCGCCACTAGGGCATCCGCGGCCTCCGGCGTCGCAACTGGACCGCTACGCGCGAGGAAGGCGTCGTCGAAGACGTCGCCGGCGACGAACTTGACTGGGAATGACTCGGGCGTGGACTTGAACACTTTGTGGCCTACGTCCCACAATTCTGTTGTGCACATGCTCAGTCGAAAGCCTCGACCAAGACTCGAGCGCGCTCACCGGCATGGAGGTTCGAGGCGATGATTTGATTGTTTGGGAATCCATCCAAGACAACCTTCCTAGTGTCGTTGCCAACACCGCAGCCAACGTCGAGAAACAGTGCACCTGGGCGTTCTTTTCCGAGCTGCAGGAGGTCCTTGTAGGCGGGAAAGCGAGATATTTTCGTTCTCGCAGAGGGCGAAACTTCAATAAGTAAGCGGCAAGACAGTCGCTTTGCAGTGAATACTCACTTCACAAAGCCGCAAATCCGAATACAAGGGTATGGATAGATCTGCCGTTCGAAAAAAAATGCTTTTAACTAATCTTTTCCCAGTGGGGACCCAGATCTCCGGAGCGTTGAAAGTTAAGAGTACTCACCGCGTAAGCCTCGCGCTGGACTTGGAGGACGTGCTTCTTCAGCTCCACCGGGTCTTTGATACCTGTGAGTTCAGAGACGAACTCGGTCTCGGCATCATCGTAAAAGCTCTCGTCGAGCTTGGCTTCCCTGGTGCTATAGCGCATCCCGTCGAGCAGGGATGTTGCCTCGGTGTCGGCCGGTGATGCCATCGAATGGTCAGCGCGCGCTGACTAGCGCGGAAACGTCGGTAGCCTGCCAAAAGCCACAAGGCTGCAAGTCCGCCGCTCCAAGTGAGGGAGGCGGGAATGGATGATTGATGACCGTCTGTTCGCACCCTTCCTCTCTTATATCACCCGGTTGTGCGATAAGTCCCTCACGATTGCAGTTTCGGCTTCATCGCGGCTCGTAGCCTGGCGACTCCCACAGCCTGGGCTGCCTGGCAGACTGGTTCCCAAGCTCAGGAACCAAGTCCCGCCGGTATCAAAGAATGCCATTCCGACTGACGATTTTTACGCACAATATGTTTATCAGAACTAGTTTAGGGGCCCACGCTAATGTGTAGACTTGGAGAGCCGATGTATCCGAGTCGCGCAGAGGGCACGACGAGCCATGAGAACCCTACTAGACAGCGGCTTGTTAAATCAAGTCTTCAAGCTGATG